AAATAAACTAATAACTTACAAATAATCTATAAGCTAAAAACTTTCATATTTATATATATAGAATATTCGTATTCCTTAGCTGCTTTCGTGTGGTTTCACTCTATACAAATAATATATAAAGTGATTCAAGTTAATGCGAGCTAATCTTAACAAGTTGAGAGGCTTAGAAATTGACCAATTTGGCCAAGGGGCAATTCAGAAAGTGGCAAGCAAGAGAGGGGGCAAAACAAAACAAAAGAATGAGTTAAAAACACAATCTAATGCAATATCATTTCTTATTGGTTCTTAGTCGAAATAGTGTTGGGTAATGCCTAAGCGCCACGCAAAGGCAAAACTAAGCACGAAAGAAAAATAAAAACAGCTTTGGTTGTTGTTGTTGTTGTGGCTGGKCCGTTTCTTCTTCAGTTGGTTGTTGTCATTGTCGTGGTTGTTGTTGCTGTTAACGAAAAACCGTTTCGTTAACAACGGCAAAGCTTTAAGAGTCGAGTACTTAACTTTTGTTATAACAAAAATTAGCCATGCTCATTGTTGCAACACACGACACAGTAACAACAACAACGACAAGCGGCATAAACGTGTGGCAAGCGAACAGCAACAACAACAATAACAATGAGCTGCCAATGCCTTGACTGAGTTTTTTTTTTTTTTTTTTTTTGTTGCTTTCTGCCTGTTTAATACGAAAATTGCTTTTTGTTCATTGTTGCAGCAATCGTTGTTGTTGTTGCTAACTGACAATTTGATTGTCTTCTGTTGTTGTTGTTGATTCTCGCGTGTATGCTTGCGAACGGAAAATCAATTTGATTTTTAATTACGGCAAATTTGAGACAAACAAATTGCGGACTGTGCCGAATAAGGCGAATTAACGAAAAAACAAAAACAAACGCCCAATAACAACAACAACACCAAGGCAGTTATTTGAGTCACAAACCCGTATAACGGTACACGTGCAGCTGACGCAGCAGCTGGAAGGAAATGTAGCAAARCGACAGATGCAAAAGGAGACAACAACAACAGTAACAACAAACGCAATAGCAATAGCAATGCCTGCGAATTCAAATGCCGCCTGGTGCATTGAACCGTTATACAATTCGATTGTGCGTGTAAGAGAAATAGCAGTAGAGAACATACACAATACACTTTCGATTATCGAACTGACAGCCGCCATTTTGTCATACATATATTATTCTCTGTCAAGTTATTCATATTATGCTTACCCTTTCAGCTATTAGCTTTCAGCTGTTCTCTTGCCGTAGTTGTTGTTGTTGTTATTTCGAAATGCAGCTAGGTAAAAGCTCTGCTTCTGTGGCCAGGCGATAAAAGAGATAAACAAGACAAGCGTTACAATTAGGTTTTTATTTGTTGGCTTGCGCGCGTTACCAAAATAAACACGGCGAAAAAAAACAAGATAACACGATATAGCGAATATAAAACACGAGTGAGCAAGCGAGAGGAACTGTGAAAGAGGAGCGCGGAACGAGCGGCGGACGAACGAGCGAGTCAGCTTCAAGGCGAGCTCTTCGATTGTTGACGGAAACGTTAGACGACGGCAACGGCGACAAACTCCTGCCGCGACAGTAACAACAACAACAATGAGCACAATTTACCAGTTTTTTTTTGTTACTTATTGATTTTTATGCGATGCAACAAATAATGAAAAAGCAATAAGCACGCGTTGCCGCTTGAGTTGCTGCTGTTGCCGTTGCTATTGTTGTTATTGTTGTTGTATTGCCACCTTCGTTTTGCAATTATAATTTTTGCGCGTATTTAAATAAGAATATGAGACAAAAGAATTTCGCACACTCGCACAGACACACCACATGCACATACACATGCACACACGCACTTCAATGTCAACTCACTTTTAGCAACTTCTTTTTCTTTTCGAAATACTTAAAGACTTTGCGGCACTTAAATGTAGTTGAGCACGTAACACAATAAATAATAATAATTAATTACCAACCAAGCACGCTGCACTTTGCAGAACAGTTTAAACTTCAATTTGTAATTTTTTTTGTTGGTTTACAAGCGCTGAGAGCGCGTTTTAATGCAATAATGCCAAGATTCGCGAACAGCAACGAACCATGCGCAAGAAAAACGAAAAGAAGACTGAAAAGATATGGGCAGCAAAAAAGTGCAAGGCAAGGCAAGGTATGACAGGCAATCGATATATTAACGTACACTGACGATATATCGATAGGCAGCTGTTTGCTGGTAACAGTGGTTGGCAACGCGCACAGCACCATAACAGCGGCGCAACAGTTGCGTAGCTTTTCGGCGCCAAATTCAAAAAAATTAAAGTACTCTTTCATTTTGTTGCTATTTTGATTGTGGTTGTGCTAATTATTTTTTATTTATATGTTATGTTTTTTGTTTTTGTAGCTATAACATGGCAAATGTGAACAAATTCAACTACGGTTTCATTACTTTTTTGTGATGGTTTCACTTCAATTATGAATAATAATAATAATTGTATGTATATGCATATATTAACTTAACATTCTTAGGTCTTCGCTAATATATATAATTATGTATATTGACTAACAATTACAAATTTAGTTGAGGTACTATACAAATTAAAGTTTAACTAAGACTAAATTTTATGCTCGCAAAATTTGACTAATTTTTTTTTGTTTTTTGTTTTTCTTGTGGATTTTGGATTTTCTTTTTAGATCAATGTGATGCTCAGTCCCTGTGGCAGCTGCAACTGACCCAGCTGCAGTTCGGTTTGGTGGTTTACTTGGCTAACAGCCAGCTCTAGCTCCAGCTCCAGCTCCTGCTCCATCTCCTGCTCCACTTCCTTTTCCTCTTCCGTTTCCGTTTCCACTTCCACTGTTTCGCCTTKTGTTTGGTAGCTTAATCGTCGTTTGGCCACGGGCAGCACCTCCGCTATTGCTCTATCGAATTCCAGCAGGATCTCATCTTCGTCCAGCTGACGTGTCCAGCGTGGCCGCCGCTTGACTGGACTCATGATGTGATTCAGCGGCGATGGTGATTTCTGCTGCTCCTGCTGCGGTGCCTCCGCCTGCTCCTGGCTCAGCGTGGTGCCCAGTCGTCGAAACATGGCCACAACTTTGCCATCGACGCGTGGCTTGGGCAATCTTTGGTAGGTGGGCGACTTGACTAGTCTCTGCTGGAGTTGCTGCTGTTCCAGCTCCAGCTCCTGCTGCTTCTGCTGCTGCCTGCTCAGCTGTCGCTGCAGCTGAGCCACCTTGGCCAGGCTCCGCTTGTGCAGCGAGCGCCACTTGCAGGAGTCGCATGAGCTACGCAAGGATCGGCGCCTTGGCTGCTTGCTCGTCCGCCTGCATCGGCGCCTGCTCAGAGCCGGCGGCATTCTCCTCGCCGATCTTTCTCTCTCGATGTTTTTTAGGGCGGGCAGGCGACTCGATGGCGGTGGCTGAGGCTGAGGCTGGGACTGGGGCTGTGGTTGTGGCTGTAGCTGTGGCTCAGGCTGAGGCTGTCGCTGTGGCTGCGGACGCACCTGGGCCACAGGTCGCAGCTTCGCGGGCTGCGCCTTCGACAGCGGCAGCTCCTGCTGCTGCTGCTGCACGATGCCGGCGCTGCTGCTGTTGTTGCCCATGTGGGCGGAGGGGCTCTGACTGCGACTCTGACTCTCGGCATCGTTGCTGTTGAGCGCCTGCAGCGAGTGCCAATTGATYAGCCAATTGTTGCAGCTGAAGCACAAGAATTTATCCTCATTCAAGGGCTGCAAGACAGAGAGAAAGAGAGGGAGAGAGTTGTTAATTTAATACTATATAATTAAAGTCTTATAGAATTAGATTATACGACTTGAAGATGGTGGTATGGTAACAGGTAGAGAGAGAGAGAGAGAGAGAGGGGGGGGGGGAGCGTGGCAGATAGAGAAAGCAGGAGAAACGAGGTGAGGGAGAGATTGAGATATGGACATAAAATTCTAAAATTAGAGAGGGAGAGCAAGACCTAGATAAAGCGAATGAGACAAGAAGAAGCATGAAAAGAGATTGAGAGAAAGAGACAGAGAATAGAGGCAGAAGGAGAGAGATAAAGGGAAAGAAAGATCATGGAATTAATAGAGAGAACAAAAGAGACAGAGTTATGTAAATATAAATATTAAAATCCCTAATTCAATGTAAATAATCCAGAATATTTCCTCTGCAACTACAGGGTATCAGCTAGTCAGTCAACCCTCGAAACTAGAAATAGGCCTAATTTAATTGCTTAGAGCTGCCTCCCAATTATAGCAAAGCAGAGTTGAGCACACGGACGGGACACGCTCGAGCCGCGCAGAGTCCGTGTCGAGGTCCTGCCCCAGGAATTACAGCTGAAGCATGACCACAGCTGACCGAAAATATGCCGCTCAAATTGAGCGACGCCCGAAGAGCTGAGCCGAGCTGAACATTGACCACTGACCACTAATGAGTCTGCCAGGGAATTCAGAGTTTGGAGGCAAAGGTGCAAAAAATGGCATAAAACTCAAGTTGCGGCTGAGACCGTGGCATATTAATTACCAGATGAAAGGAGGAGGAGGAGGGGCAGACGGAGCAGCGGCTGGAGGAGGAGGCATTGTATCAATAATAATTCGTGCACCTGCCAGCCGAAAATTGCGCCCAGCAGCGGCAGCAGCAGCAGCAGCTGGCACGAAGCATAACCAGATCAGGCTAGGCGGGAGTAGGGGCTATGGCGGGGTTAGCTGGCCCAGTCGAGGAGGCTCAGGTGCAGTTCGGCAAACTCGTTTGGCCACGCGCCTCGCCTTATCGAGCGTAGCCAAAGGAGACCCGACGAAATATCAAAATAAAAGGGAAATACAAACAACAATAACTGACAAAAGGCACGCGGCAGCTAGCGACAGCTGCTTAGGATTAGAGATAGACAGCGAGAGAGAGAGAGAGAGAGAGAGAGAGAGAGGGGAGCCAGGCAGGATCTCAAAAGGAAACCCAATCGAAGCTAAGGGCCCATGTGTAAACGGTAAATGCAAATTGCAGGCCAGGTGCAATTCAGACAGAGCCACACGCAAAGCTGATAAAGACCCAGAGACAGAGACAGAGAGAGAGAAGGAGAGAGAGAGAGTGAGAGGTAGGCAGTCAAGGCAGACAGATGAATGAGTTAACTTTCTGCTGCTGCTGCTGCTGCTGTCTGTCTGTCATTCACGCGAACTGTTCGTGTATGTGTGTGTGTTAGTGTGCGTGTGTTCTTTATGGCGGGGGTGTCATATATGTATAGGGGGTGCATTTAGAAGGGCAGGTGGTGCCTAGTTGCGCAAATACTGAACGTAACGATCGTTAGCTATCGCATAGGGTGAACTATGATAAATAAATGGGTAAAATTTGAATAAAACTGTTGGGTGGAATATTACCGTTACTTTTCGTATGCTTCAATTAACTAGCAGTTCAAAACAGGGTAGTATTTTTAGGCTTTTAGTATTTTGGGAGTACTCAAAAAAGAAGTAGGAATAACATATGGTCTATGATCATGGAAGGCGAATAAATTAAATTAAAATTTATCTTTAATCTGAGTTGATTTATCTATGATAATTCAGCTTTGCTCTTTCATCTTGCATATTTCATATTTAATATTGCTTATTCCAATTTCCAACATCCATCTTTTATACTTCATTCTTAATCTATTATCTATCGTATTTTGATATTTTCATTATTTGTCCTTTCCTTTAACGTTAATCTATCATCTACTTTTTAAATTTCATATTTATCTCTAAAGCTCCCCGCTAAGCTTTCCCACACAATTCTTAGGCTAATCTCATAAAAAGTATCATATAATTATCCTTTAGCCTCCATTTGAGTATCTGTTACACCATCTTCATTGCCTGCCTATAGATTGCTTTCAATATATAATATTTATTCTAGTCAAGTCTTAATTGCCCACCTACTTATCTAGCTTAGCTAGCCCCTATCACATTTCTCTGTTATGACAAACTAATTCAATTGTCATCAATCCAATTAACCGAGTTTCGCATTGAAACCCGAGAAGAAGCAGAATTCGAAGTGAAGAAGTCCTTCAATTTCGAAATTTCCCAATTTTCTGTAGAATTTTCAAGGATTTTTCTATGGTTTCTCTGGTTTGAAGTGGCTTTAAGTAAAGGGCAGGGGCAGCTGTGGGAACTTGAAATCTGGGTTATCTGAAGTCTTGGGATGGTTTTGTCTAGAAAGTATTTCTAGATGTATTTGAGTAGAGTATTCCACTTTACAGGATGATCTTTCAATGAGTATGTTTGGCTCAATACACAAATCAGTTTTTATTTACTCTCTGTCTCTTATCTCTTGAAGATCTATAAAGGTAACTACGCTCCTTTTCATAGATAAGACTAGGCAGCTGCTCCACTGATTGCGCAGTTGGTACAAAAAAAAGGTAAACGAAACGAAAATCTTGAGCTAGCTATAGAAATGTGAGCAGACAATGGGCCGATATGCGAAAAAAAGGAGAGAGATCAGGGCACGTAAATGCGGGCTACTCCATAGAGAGAGTGTTACGATCTGTGTGTGTGTGTGTGTGTGAAAGAGTGCTGCAAATACAGCTGCTCTTGCAAGCAGCTGTAAAAAAGGTAGAAAATAAAGGCGTAGACAGAGGTAGAGGCAAAGGCTGAGGCAGAGGCTGAGGCAGAGGCTGCTGCCCGCAGAAATTGGATCAATCATAAATGAAGTTGAGATATTCACGAAATGTCGCTGGCAGCAGCGGCAGCTGCCGTTGGGATCTCTCGCCGAAGCAGGTTCGAGGCATACAGGTAGTAGTCGTGCCACGACTGTAATCCAATATGCAACGCACTTTGTGGCACAGACAGGAAAGACAAAAGCAGGAGCAGAGGCAGTGGCAGCGACAGTGGCAGCGACAGAGGCAGAAACATTTTCGGTTCCCATGGCGCATTCAAATTAGAACAAGCTGTTGGAAATTATGATGGAAAAAGGACATATGCATAAGGACATGCAGCGTATCGAGCCAAGTGTCACACATGCAAAGTGTCCGATTACAGAAAAAGGGAAATGCAGCAGCTGCTATCCAGTTACCCGAGTTCCCAAGTTCCCACTTGCCCAGTTGCCCAGTTCCTCAGTTCCTCAGTTGTCCAGCTACCCACAAATACCGCATACCGGATACGGATACAAGCGACAGTTAGCACAGTTCTCTTCACTCTTCACTCACCGCCCTTCGGCTGACTTGGTTTACTTAGTCACTTACTACGTCATACTAAATTATTTAGAGCCAGCTCATGCGATTAGTTGCGCCTAAGTGCTTTGCCCTTGCACTACTTCTTGTACTTTGTGTCCTTCCACTTGTGTCCTTACACTATGTTAGCTATGTCTGTTATCGCACTGTAGTTCACTTTTCCATAAAGCCCTACTTCTTTTTATTATCATCTTCTTTTTATCATGTCTAGCTATATTTATCTATTGCTTCTATGTTTCTTGCCTTTCCTATAGCTATTTATTAATGACTGTTTAACTAGATTGACCTAGACCAACATTCTGGCCTTCCCTTACTCTAACTATCCAATCAAATATCCATTACCTTTCTTATATACTAAGTCTATTATCCATTGGGAATTCCTTGTTTAAATATTGATTCATATTCCAATTACATTTATAGCTTTTTCATTTGGTTAGCTCTACACTGTTTCTCCCTCTCCCTCTTTCTCCTTAAACTTTGCCCTCTCTATTCAATTAGACTTTGCGAATTTCTTAAGTAACTCAGATCCAACTGCCTCACCTCTCGCTAAGTGATTTCTAGAATGGCAAATTCCCTTACCTTGCATTAGATTTGCTCACCTTACAAAATACCTTGACTCTACTGTGCTGCAATTCTCTCCCACTCCCTCTCTCTCTCTCTCTCTCCCTCTCTCTCTCTCTCTTGCTTTCCGCCCTTTTAGCAATGTCTACAGTTGCGATTGTTGAACTTCCTGTAACTTCTATAGCTGCTTTACGCCCGTAGCTTCTATAATTTTTATAGCTCCTGTAACTCCTTTGACTCCCACTTCTCGCTCCCTCCTTCTGTCCCTCTGTCTCTATCTCTGTCTCTTGCCTCGCGATGTGTTTTGCTAACCTTTTGCGACTTTCAAGTGCACACGCTTGGATGCTGCAGCCACCTGGAGATGGGCCAGACGTGCTGTGGGCTGTGCTGCTTCCAGAAGCTCTCACACAATTTTTCATCCCCTTTTGCAACACGGTCAACACACACACACACACACGCGCGCAGACAGAGAGAAGGACATGCATATGACTCATTTGGTTCGCTTATCGATTTTTTGATGTTTTTAGCTGAATTTCCTTTGATATAAATGTTTTCTGCCTTTTCTGTTTTTTGTTTTTGTTGTTGCTTACCTGAAACTTGAATTTGGCTTGAATTAATTGCACGATGTTTGGTCCGGAGCGCGGCTCATAGATGTTGATGGCCTGATTGGTTTGACAGCCGCAGATGAGGCAGGTGCGTTTCAGGTACTCCGAGGCGGCGGCAGCGGCGTCTGCCGACGAGGATGCAGCAGCAGCGGCCAATGCAGCCGCTGGCTCCGCTTCATTATTCGCAGACATAGTTTTAGATTTATACAGATTCTACACTGCTTCTTCTATTTCCTCTTGCTATCTCTCTCTCTTCTTGCTCTTCTGTTTTCTTTTATTGAATATTTGGCGAACTGTGATATTTTGTGTGTCGCTACTGACGTCACACGCTGGGCGCTACGTCTCTGCTGGCCACGGGGTGGCAACTAAAACAACATTCAACACAACGACAACGAGCACAACAACAACAGCAACAGCAACAACAGTRGCTACAGCGAGAGAGCTTCACGCGTCGCACGTCCTTCGCGTTGCACGCACAATTTTCGAATGAATCGAACCAATTCACGAACTTCGCTTCAGCCGAGCCTCGGTCGTCGCTCGGTCGTGGCTCGGTCTTCGGCTTGGTCTTCGGCTCGGCCTGCGCGACGCTAGCAGAGGCAACGCCACTCGCTGGGCCGTTTGGGTCGTTCCATCTGCTCTCCTTTAMCGTCGTTGTTGTTGTTATTGTTCTTTGTCCCTTTCCCTGCCTGGCTGCCTGGCTGACACTCCTTTTACCTTTGCCTGCCTGCCTGCTGTTTGCTTTTGTTGTCGACGCAGCGATACACTGAGAAAAATTGATGAAGCATAACAGATTTTTGCGTAAAGGTAGCATAACTTTAACTAGTCAATTAATTATACTTAATATACTTAATTAATACACATATAAATAATTTCAGTAAATGTTGTGAATTGTGAATTATTTAATTTAAAATGTCTATCTGCTTTTATAATTTTTTTTTTTAATATGGAGTATAGACTAAATAAATTTATCCAAGAAAATCTATAAAAATTTATATATAGCAAAAATCAAATATATTAAAGTTATTTATTAATTTCTGCATTAAAATTATTTATAAAATTAACAAGATTGTAATTAATCACATTTTGAATGTCATATTTATTGTTCATTAAAAAGAAATATTATTTT